TATTATGCGTATGTTTTGATGGATATTTAGAATGCGTGTGGTAGTGTTGTGTTTGAATTGGGAGTTTTTGGGGTTTGGAGAAATTGGAAGTGTGTAACTTATTTTTCTTTGTGTCTCGATATTTTCTTTGTGTGGCAAGTTAATTTTTAGGGGAAACTCTTGCGAAATTTTCGTAGGAATTTCCTTAAACATTATTTTTGTTAAAAAAAAATGTTAATTACTTGCCTCCTTATGAAAATTTAACCACTTCTAATTTGTGATCTAACTTTTATAGTGACATAAGATGGTGCTCCGGCACCGATTGTGGCATCCACCGTCTGGTTCTCCGGGATTGGTCGGTGGGTGTTACAAATCCATTTATTACCAGCATTTTGGGCATTAAAAGATGACTGACCTGTTAGCATTTCCCAAACCGAAGCAGCGTTCCAACCTTTCGGTTTGGAAGCAAACCCATTTTTCGGAAATCCTAACCACCTATGCATTTTATTGTAGTCCAAAGTTAATTCCTCTCCCTCTACTCTAAATTTTATAGCATTCTTTGTCTCATCAACCCATTCAAGGGTAGTCAAAAACTCAAGACTTATGTTAGCATTCTCAGGAATTCTTAATTTACTATAGATTTCAAAATTAAGGATCAGAGAATTCCGTTAATTTATCTATAGGATTTCAACAAATTAGGAGGATTTGCAGATAATTCTTGAATTTTTTCTAAAAGACGCAGTATGCTACAAAAAAATTAGTGTCAAGAATAATACATACGCGGTGAAATTGGATTTTCGTGAGGCGTTTGGAATGTTTGCCTCCTCTGTAGTGTAGATGGGAAATAGCGCTTTGGTACTGTTTTGAAGCCAAGTCTTTCTTGTGTTGGGAAACTGCTTTGAAGCCAAGTCTTTCTTTGTTGGAACTGAAGAAGATGAACCATCATTCTTTTTCCTTGCCTTTTGCTTGAACGACATAGTGATAATGAGAGTGAAGTGTGTGTCGGCTAAGGATTGTAAAAAGCAGAAGATTTTTGTGAAGAGTATTGTAATGGCAGATTTGGTGTTTGACGAAAAATAGAGTCCTTTATAGAGATAATCTTAGGGAAGGATAGGTTTGAATAGTCAATGGAGAAGTTGAGAAGGGAAAGGATTTGATTGGTTTTGAAAAGGTGTTTGCAGTTTTGCAGGTTTGAATACCTTGGGAAGGAGAAGCGTTGAATTGAAATTTGAAAAGACAATTTTTATTTTCTGTCCAATAGACATTCGCGCCCGCGAATCCAGTATCGCGCTCGCGATCTTTAAGATTTCTCCTTGCAAACGATGATCTCAAAACCTTCTGCCTTCCTTTGCACCCTATTCACGCCAGCGAATATTACTATCGTGATCGCGATCTTTAATCCAATCTCTCTGTCTCTTTTTTCACAGTTATCACACTCGCGATGTTGGCTGTGAATGTGAAGGCCAACCCTTCTATGCTTAAAGCATAGCCTTACGCGCCCGCGCTTCCATAAATCGTGCTTGCGTAATCTGTTTCTGCAAAGGCAAAATTTGCTACACACTTGAATTGAATTTTTGTTTTTCTGAATGAACTTAAACCGATAGGAATCCTTTTAAGCCATAATGTGGTTTGTAAGCAAAGAAAATATTTAAAATGTAATTGCTTAAAAATAAAAAAAATAATATGAAAACAAAATTAACAAAACATATTATATATATATATATATAGATATATATTATACATACCAACTTGGTGTCTTCAAATTGCATGCAACTCTACATGGGGTGGATCAACAACCTTGACACCCAAGTAAAGCTTACATCTTTGTCCATTTACCATAAATGTGGAGCTATTGGATAAATTTTTCAACTCTAATGCACCATGATCTAAAACTTTGATCACTTCAAATGGTCCACTCCATCTAGACTTCAATTTTCCAGGAAATAAGCGTAGTCGTGAATTAAACAACAATACTTTATCTCCTTCCTTAAATGTGAATTAAATAAGCGTAGTCGTGAATTAAACAACAATACTTTATCTCCTTCCTTAAATGACTTGATTCGAATATGAGTGTCATGCCATTTTTTAGTTCTTTCCTTACATAACTTGACATTCTCATATGCTAACATTCTAATCTCATCAAGTTCATTTATTGAAGTTTTCACTTAATGCTTGCCTTGTTCAAATCAAAATTCAGAGCTTTTATTGCCCAATAAGCTTTATATTCAAGTTCTAAAGGTAGATGACATGCTTTACCATAAATCAAACGCTACGGAGACATCCCAATTGGTGTTTTAAACACCGTTCGATATGCCCAAAGTGCATCATCTAATTTAAGTGACCAATCTTTACGAGATGAATTGACAGTTTTTTCTAAAATCCACTTAAGTTCACAATTTGATTTCCACCTCACTAGTTTGTGGATGGTATGGAGTAGATATTCTATGGTATACTCCATATCTTTTCAAAAGACTCTCAAAAGATTTATTTAAAAAGTGCGTACCTCCATCACTTATTATTGCCCTTGGAATTCCAAATCTTGTAAATAGTGCCTTTAAAAACTTAACCACCATATTTGCGTTGTTTGTTACACAAGCTTGTGCCTCTACCCATTTGGAAACATAATCCACAGCCACCAGGATATAACTTTTACCTTGTGAAATAGGGAAGTGTCCCATAAAGTCGATCCCCCATACATTGAATATCTCTATCTCAAGTATGTCGGATAAAGGCATCTCATTCTCTCCGACTTATGTTTTTGACCTTTTGACACCTGTCACAATGAGAGATAAATATACGGGCATCCTGAAACAATGTAGGCCAATAAAAGCCACTTTCTAAAACCTTTGAAGCAGTTCTACTTATTCCATGGTGCTCTCCGTATGGACTCGAATGACAATGCATAAGTATATCTTATACTTTCGTTTCCCCTACACATCTTCTAATCATACCATCCCCACATATCTTAAATTTCCCCTACACATCTTCTAATCATACCATCCCCACATATCTTAAACAAAAATGGTTCATCCCACAAAAAAATTTTAACATCTGAGTAAAATTTTTTTCATTGTGCATAAGTCATATCAAGAGGTATTATTTTAGAAGCTAGAAAATTTGCAATGTCAGCATACCAAAGTATATGAACATGTTGTACTAACATTAAATTTTCATTTGGAAAACTTTCATTAATAATTGTAGACTCTCCTATTGGACCTTCTTCATTTTCTAGACGTGATAAATGAGATATAATGATGCGGCAACTAAATTTTCTTCAGAATCTTTCATATCTAATCTCAAATGGTCAAATTCTTTTGCAATAACAACAACCATCTTAATAAGACGCCAGTTTTGTGCATCTTTTCTTAGCAAACAAGTATTTTTAATGCAGAATGATCAGTATGATTATGACTTTCGGATCCTAAACAAGTATGATATAAATTTATCACATGCATATACTACAACCAACATTTCTTTTTCAGTAGTTGTATAATTCATTTGAGTACTAATTAGAACATGGCTAGCATAGTATATCACATGCAATTTCTTATCATATCTTTGCCCTAAAACACAAACAACAGCAACATCATTAGCATCACACATTATTTCAAATGGTAATCTCCAATCAGGTTTTGCCATAATAGGTGCACTTACTAATGCATCTTTCAAAGTGTTAAAAAGGCATTTAAACAATCTTGAGAAAAATCAAAGGGTACATCTTTAACAAGCAAGTTAGTGGTACATCTTTAACAAGCAAGTTAAGTTTAATGGTTTTAGCAATGGTAGAGGAAATTCTTTAATAAATCTCCTATAAAATCCTGCATGGCCCGTAGAAAAAGACCTAATTCCTCTAACTTGTAAGTAAAGGAGGTGGTAACTTTTCTATGAACTTCTATCTTTGCCCTATCTGTTTGGATTCCATCTTTACTTATTTTGTGCCCCAAAACAATGCCCAATCAACCATAAAGTGGAATTTTTCGCCAAATTTAAAAACTGTCATTTTTCCCAATTTAAAACTAAATTAGCACTTTCACATCTTGATAACACTAGGTCCAAATTTTTCAAACAACTTTCAAAAGAATCACCATATACAGAAAATCATCCATGAATACATCTACGATTTCTTCTATGTAATCATTAAAAATGGCTGTCATGCAGCGTTGGAATGTTGCGAGTGCATTGCATAATCCAAAAGGAATGCTTCTATATGCAAATGTACAGAATGGACAAGTAAATTTAGTTTTCTCTTGGTCATTTGGGAATATATAAATCTGAAAATATCCCGAATATCCATTGAGAAAGCAATAGAAAGCATGACCAGCAATTCTTTCTAACCTTTGGTCTATGACAACGGACAATGATCTTTCCTTGTGGCTGAATTTCGCTTCCTCTAGTCAATGCATACCCTCCAACCTGTTGTAGTTCTAGTAGGGATTAGTTCACCATTTTCATTTTTTACTACAGTCATCCCTCCCTTTTTAGGAACACATTGAATCGGGCTAACCCACTAGCTATCCGAAATTGGGTATATTATTCCTGCATCTAACAGCTTTATAATTTCCTTTTTTACTACTTCTTTCATATTAGGATTAAGTCTCCTTTGTCTTTCTGCCCTAAGTACATGTCCATCTTCAAGGTTTACGTAATGTATTGACTCGATTAGGACTTATACCCTTAAGGTCAGATTAGGACTTATACCCTTAAGGTCAGAAATTTGCCATCCTATACTCCTAATCCTATTTCTAACAATACTTAACAATTCATTTTATTGATCTATGGTTAATTTGTTAGAAATGATTATTGGAAGTGTGTGATCTTTACCTAGGAAAGCATATCTTAGATGACTAGGTAATTCTTTAAGGTCTACTATTGGTGACCTTTCAATTGATGGAGATAAAGGTTCATTTTCTCTAAGTAACATCTCAGGTCTTCAACTTATAAACTCTTTTTCTTCATTACTTGCACTATCATTTTCATACTTAACATTATTTTCTAATGCAAATATTTCATGCACACATGTATCAACTATCATGCACACATGTATCAACTATGGCAATCCTCATGCAATTACCTTCATCCATAGGACATTTCATGGCTTTATCTATATGAAATTCAATGATATCATCACCTATCCTAAGGATTAATTTCCCTTCTGAGACATCAATTAATGCCCTCCCTGTGTTCATGAATGGTCTTCCTAAAATAAGAGGAAAATTCTCATCATAAACAAAGTCAAGTATGACAAAATCAGTTGGAAAAATAAACTTGTCAACTTTAACAAGTACATCTTCAATTACATCTTCAATAATGCCATAAGGTCTTTTAATAGATTGGTCAGCAAGTTTTAAAACCATATTAGTACATTTTACTTCATCTTCTAAACCCAATTTCTTAAAAAGAGATAATGGCTTCAAGTTAATACTTGCTCCTAAGTCACAAAGGCATCTAGGGAAATCTACCTCTCCTAATCTACATGGTATGGTAAAGCCCCCTGGATCCTTAAGTTTAGTAGGTAATTTACTTAAGATTATGGAACTACAATCCTCGGTCAAAGTAACTGTTGACACATCCTCCCAACTACGTTTCTTTGAGATTAAATCTTTAAGAAATTTCCCGTAGTTCGAAATTTTTATAATGGCTTCCATGAATGACATGTTAATATGCAAATGTTTCAATTTATTTATAAAGTTTAAGAATTGCTTATCATGTTCTTGCTTCTTTAGCCTTTGCGGAAAAGGTGGATTTGGTTGATAAACTTTCACATTATCCTTTTCCTTTGATCCTGCAGAATTTACTTCCTTGCTCAGTTCACAAACCAACTCAACAGATTCATTATTCAAGACATTAGCATCGATACCCGAGGGAACTACTTTATCAACTACCTTTCCACTTCTTAAAACAATAGCACTTACATTTTCCCTAGGATTCTTTTATGTATTACTTAGAAGGTTTCCTACTCCACGCGATGAAATAGTCCTACTCCACGCGATGAAATAGCATCGGCAAGTTGCCCTACTTGCACGTCCAAGTTATGTATAGATGAAGAAAATGATTCTTGAAAAGTTTGTCAAAGTTAGTCTCTAACCATTTAAAATTATCATCTTGACTGCTCATTTTCTGATTTATTCCATCCAAAAACTTGTCAATTGTCCTATTTTATCTTGAGATTGATTAACTTGATTTCCTCTATCTTGATTATCATTGTTTCTCTAAAAAGTGTTAGGATAATTACAATATTCAGCATTATAATTATTCGAGTATGGACCGCGTATTGGTATCGGAATCGGCTGAACTTGTCCTTGAACATAGTTCACTTGGTTCCTCTCATAATCGAATGATTATAAATTACGAACTCTTTTGGATACAGTGTTCCATTTTGGACCCCACAATTTTCACAAGTAAGAAGAATGTTGAATTACTTCACATTCAAGTTACTCAATTTTATATGCTAAAGCAGGAAAATTTGTGCTTGCAGCTCATAGTTATGACGTATCTAACCTCATGATACTCTTCTTGAACATGTGAATTTTTTGAAGAAGATAGTTACGAAGGGATCATGGATTATAATCATTGGAAACACAAATTACTACTTTGAGCCTTTCCAGTTGGCCATATACTGTTGTTTGTTTAGCCATTTCCTTCCAACAGGACTCAATGGCGAATTAAATTAGTAGTTTTTCTTCATTAAGTTTTCTTCATTAATGATCCTCCTGCCATAGCATCTATAGTACCTCTTGTAGAAGGATTAACCCCATTGTAAAAGGTTTGAATCAATATATTTTGAGGAACGCCATGGTGTGGGCAAACTCGCTGAAGTTTTTTATAGCGATCCCATGCCTCATATAGGGATTCATTTTCATGTTGGGTGAATGAGGTTGTTTCTTTAATAAGCTGAGCAGTCTTTGCTAATGAAAAGTATTTAGACAAGAAAGTTTGGGCTAGTTGTTCCCAAGTAGTGATAGAATTTGGTAGCAACGAATTCAACCAAGCTTTTGCTTTATCCTTCAAATTTCGCTTTATCCTTCAAAGTGAAAGGAAAAAGACGTAGCTTGATGGCATCCGCTGGTACTGAATTCATTTTAAATGTATCACATATCTCGAGAAAACTGGCTATGTGAGAGTTTGGATCCTCATTTGGTAATCCGTAAAATTGAACACTATTTTGGATCATTTGTAATAAAGCAGGTTTGATTTCAAATTGGTTAGCATTTACTAGTGGACGTACTACTCCTTTTTGTGAACCATTTACGCTTGGAGTAACATAATCCATCAACCTTTGCTCTGGTGGATTTCCCTCAGTCACAATTTCTGAATTTCTTCTTTTCTTTTTCTTTTTCTATCTCGAAAGAAAATGTTAAATCTCAGGCTAATAATCCTCTAATTCACTGGTTGAAGATCTAGTACTTGGCATATAAGTTATTCAATATTTGCTCCTGCAAAAATTTTGAATCAAAAGTAAGTTGGTATTTGATAAAAATGTTGTAAATCATACATAAGAATTTTCCTTAAATGACAAAACACCGTTCCCCGGCAACGGCGCCATAAACTTGTTGCACTTCTTGATTACCCCCAAGTATACGGATCGCAACGAGTAATAAAAAGATCGATACCACGAGGAACAGGTTATGTCCACTCTACTACTTATCCTTAACACTTATGTTTATAGTAATAAAGTATGAAATAATTAAACTATAATCCTATTTTATTTTATAATTAAATATATTACTTAATCCTATAGATAAAGATATAGTAGAATACTTAGAAGAATTGATTGAAGAATTGATCATGCAATATAGAATACTTAGAAGAATTGATCATGCAATAGATTTTCTTTTTCTATAGCAAAACGTGTAACATGCAATAACTATTCTCTAATCACATGTGGTAAAGTATAATTCAACCTGTCGGTAGAAAATTACTCTATTTATTATATGTATCTCTACATACAAAAAATGCCTTACTTTATCAAATATTAATCCTAGTTCTTATTCTTTGATTATTTCAATAAGTTAGACTTAACTTTGACAAACCAGGTTAAAGATTCACATGCGAATCAAACTAACTGAATTCTATCTCTTTGATCTTTACTGAATTATTTCTTTCTGAGAATATCTTTCTGGGGAGAATGATAATTAAGTAAACTTGATTAAACGAAAGACAAAAAAAAAATAACTTAAAATAAACTTTTTATTGAAATGGAACCAAATAATATTGTTTGCTTTTGCAATAGAAAAAAATAATATTGTTGCTTTGCATAGAAAATGATGAAGAACAACATACAAAAAGTCTTTAATAAAACAAGAGAAAGATATAAGTAATCAAACTCAAGCTTCCGGAGGGCATCACACCTCGAGGAACTTCTTGATGTTCTTTGCATAAACAATAATAAGTGATTCTGATCAACTTATTTCTAAGTATTACTTTTCTATTGTATTCTAATATTGCCTCTTCTTCTATATTTTCCTCTTAATTTGGATTGCAATTTATAGAAGAGGAAGAGGATGTTGGTTATGAAGGTGATTGGCTGGCCAAAGGCTGCTTCAACTGACTTCTGATGGAAGAAATTCCGATCTGTTCACAGAAGGACACAACTTTTCTGGTGAAAAAGTGGCAGTTGGAGGCTTCTGGAAAAGCGACTCGCGCTCGCGAGTTTAAAGGTCGCGCCCGCGATGTTTACTTATGATCTTTCTGCCTATTCTAGAGTGCTCATCGCGCTCGCGAGATATAATGTCGTGCTCGCGAGTTTGACCTAGTACTCTTCTGCCGTTTTTGTTGTGTTCCACGTGCTCGCAAAATATAATGTCGCGCTCGCGAGTTCTACCTAATGCTTTCTGGATCTTCTGCCATACAGATCTCATCCGCGCATATATAGGTTGCGTTTGCAAATACCATCTGTTACCATGCAGCGCGACTTCATTCGCTGTCGTGAATTTTTTTTTTTTTTGGCAGAAAACTTCTTTCCCATACTTAGTCAAATTTTTTATCCTTTTCTTCTTAAAAACAAGCCTTTTCCAATCATTTGTTCAAATTCATTCCTACTTAAAAACAAGCCTTTTCCAATCATTTGTTCAAATTCATTCCTAAAACAACTTTAAACCAAAAACAACACAAGAAAATTATTATATTTTTTTAATTTATTTTTAAATATTTAATTTTATTTTGATTATAATTTAAAAGATTTTATTTAGAAGAGTGATAAAAAAAGAAAAAATTTTTTTTATTAATATTCATTTTTTATGTTTATATGATTTGACTGGATATATTTTTTAAAAATAAAATTTTTAATGTAATTTATTTCTTGTTATATATTGAGTTATGATGAGTTTTATTTTTTTCTTTTCTTTTTTATATAAAATTTTTAACTCATGGTTATAATATAAGAGGAAAATTATAATCAATACTTAATTTATAAAAATAATAATAAATGAGTATAAATAATAAGTTAAAAATTAGTAATGGTTTGTGCAACGCACATTATGGAAAAACTAGTAATATTTAGAGGTACAAACATAAACAATTGGAATCTTTAGTCAGATATCATCTTAGTAGAATAAATTAATATTCTCGATAAAGAATGACAAAATACATCTGTGTTTCTATCCTAATTAATACTTTCATCTGTCTATTTTCAAGAAATAACTATGAAGTACTTGGCTTTTGCTTTCATATTATTTATCGGTTTGTCCATAAAAAAATTTGGGAATGTCATAAGTTTTTTTAGCAAGTAGAGAGACAAAGGTGTTCACTAGATGAAATGGGTTAATTTGAATTCTAGACAGGTAGGAGGTATTGGTTTAAAGATATTAAAAGCTTCAAGTTTTTATGCTTGCTATGTTAGATTATTTTAATAATCTGAGTGGCCCATGTAATTAAAGGGCTGATTCTAATTAAGGTGGCCTAAGATGATGGTTATTGGGCTTAATGGATAAGCCTAAGATGAATGGTTATTGGGCTTTAATGGATAATGGTTATTGGGCTTAATGGATAAAGACCAGTTAGAGTTTTAATACCCTTCCAAGGAATCAACAGCTTAGGGTTAACACAGAAAAGAAAATGAAACAGAGAGTGTGACGGCTGCCTCAAACACATACGGTGATAGATTGTTTGAGAGAGCATGAAAAGAAACTCCTGTAGCTGTTGATGATTCTGTGACCATTGAGAGAAAACTTACGGACAAAAGGCCAGATGAAGAAACATAGATCTGCTGTTACGGTGAGAATCGAATTGCCGCAACGAGGTAATCCATAAGATAGATCTGTTGTTATAGATCAAGGTACGCTTCCGATTATTGCATATTTCTGTCAAACAAATTCTATGAACAATAGATCTAGGTTGTATTAAAGATTGTTTAACATGTGGTATCAGCATAGTTCATGTTCTATATTTGTTTGATAATGTTTTAATTTAGCTTAATTAATGAAAATTAATTTCGTATTGTGAAGTTGATTAATCTGGTATATATGAAGCCAAAATTATAGAAATTGAAAACTATTTGTTTTCTTTATCCTTTATAAATTATTGTGCTATTATTTATAAAGGAAGGTTATGACATAATAGGAAGGGTTATGACATCTTAATTATATTATGTCCATTAAAGTTTTTGAACGATCTTGAACTCAATCTTAATAAAGTTTTTGCATATGAATCAATTGTT